TAGACTTAAGACCTTTTGTCAATATGGCCCCAGATCCGTTAAATTGCGAGGTCCCCACACAGATTTTTAATAGGATTCAGTTCTCTTAGTTCTCTCTCTTAGATTAATGTTCCAAAAGCCATTCTTTTGTTGATTTAGATGTGTGTTTTGTTGCCACCAACATGCTTCACTGAGGTTATGGTGTAGAGCCCTGCGCGGGACTGGTTTCTTCATCCCGCTCCCGCCGAATTTCTGACCATTACCGCCCGCTCCCGCAACGTATGAGTTACACTCCCGCCCGCTCCCGCAAAATGTATGTTTACTCCCGCCCGCACCCGCAAAACTCTGAGAATTTATTCCCGCACAATAATAGAGATGCATTGATTTTGTGTCTTCTCCCGTCCCGCAGGAAAAAAACACATTTGTATTGCTATTATTAAAGAGATTCATGATTTTTTTTTGTTTCGTTTCCCTGGCCTGCATGTATTCTGACGCACTGATGAAGAAGATGAATAGTAGCCTGGCTATCGGGGACATCTAAAACGCTTAGGCTACCGCGCGTTTCTTTAGACTTCAAGTAGGTACTTTGATTTTGGCTATTGAAGTATTCTGTCATAGGCTTGATCGGTCCTGGTGTAAATGTGCAGAAAGCATATGAAAGCAGCTAGCCTATGAGAACACAGAAAGACAAAACACACAATACATTCAAATATAATTTCGTTTTTATCAAAAACTTTGCAGTGAGTGCACCATCACACGGCACATAAAAAATAGACTGCTTTGAAAAAAAAAAAAAAAATGATAAACTAGGCAACATGAAAAACAGCAGTTTTACAATTATTAACCAAAGCCAGATGTCGCAGGTATTCTGTTTGAAAAAATACAAATAAGAATAAAAACATTCAAACTTAGGCAGCCTGCTCACTGGCATCATCACTGGCATCATCACGCCTCTTGACCTAATTTACAAATGGCAACGAGAGGCTGTGCTCAAAAAACAACACTAATAAATAACATAAAATAAACAACGTTAACGAATGAATTTAACAAATAAATCACTTTGCAATATTGCTGTGGAGGAAGAGAATGTTGCTGATCGACTGCGGTCCCAATCCCGTGCGTCTCTCTTCCAAGATGCGCCCGCAGACACTAAAGGCCCGCTCTGAAGGCGCACTGGATGCGGGGATACTAAAGATGAAACGTGACAGCTTTGATAGCGCTGGGAAGCGCTCTTTGTTGAACTTCCACCTTTGAAGCACGCTGTCTGGGTCTGGGTTATCAGAGAGACGGGAGCTGAGATATTCAGCCATTTCATCATCGATCGGCTTTGGCACTGTGACTGAAGCAACGGACGCATCGTCTTCCCAGTCTGCGAATCGGTCTGTGGTGCTTTGCTTTTTGGCTGGTGGTGGCTCATCCTCTGCTGTGGCTGGGCCCAGATGAAACTGCATCTTCTGAATAATTTCCTTTGCGCCTTTGGATAGGATTTGATTTATATATAAATTAATATGTATTTTTAAAATGGCTCATGCTGTTATTCATTTATATTTTTTATTTATTCATTGTCTTTTATCTCCGTTTCTATTTTTTGACTGTATTAATTTCACTTAGCCTATTCTATAGTAATTGCACTGTGTTTTCTGTGTTTATGTCTGTTACATATAGCCTACCTTTAACCACGTCGTCTTTTTCATCTGGGGGCAGCATCCGTAGCATTCGCATTTTAGGAGTCAGGAGTGTTGCAATCCTGTACATCATGTGGAGAGGTAATGCAGATGTGTTACTGGTGCCCATCAGTTCTTCCAGACGCGAGGCACACACATCGGCGACTCCAGAGAGCAAGGGCTCGAGCATTGCTGCTTGGCAGTGTTCAATGAGTTTCACGGACCACGGCAGTGGAAGTGATGCGCTGGGAGTGGAGTTGTCGGACTCTAAGTCATTAGTAGCTTCCTTGAATAACTTAAGGAACGCAACTACTGTTTTTAAAGTGTTTGCATTGATCTGCGCAATTCTTTCATACTGGTTATTTTTAAGCAGTATTGTGGAGATCTCCTCATGTTGTTGCAGTATGGAATCCAGCATTTCATAATTTGAATTCCATCTTGTCTCGATGGATTGCTTGAGGGATTTCTTCAAGCTGTTTTGCAGACCTGAATGTTTGAAATATTTCACCAGTTTTTTTGCACTGGTCAACAATTCAGACAGCTGGTGCAAATGCACTTGATAGGGTGACGTTCAGGATGTGCGCGTTGCAGTTCAGCCTGGTGTATCCACGCAGGGCAGCGACTATGTTGGCTCCACGGTCAGTGACAAACACAACACGGCCAGATAGAAGTGACGCATCTATTCCAAATTCACGGAGTTTCTGGAACAGCAGGCTCCTGATATTCTCCCCTGTCTTTGATACACAACTCTCAAAGGGAGCCGCGAATAACACCCTGGAAACGAGGTCGAAGTTGTTGTTTGTATAATGGATGGTGCCGGATATGAATGAAGTTTTATGGTAATCCTCCGTCCATATATCTGTTGTGATGGCACATCCATATGTTTCAATGATAGGCTTTATCTCCGCTGCCACTGACGCCTGCAGTACTTGGGCTCGCCCCTCGACATGTCTGGATACAGTGGTTGGATGAGGTAAAACATCTTTAACATCAAATTTGCCATATTTAGCGGCGACATCAACAAAGTGTTGCGATATATCAACAAAGCCTTTCCCGGCGACGAAGTCATATGGCCTTATGTCTAGACAGCACACTTCCACACATTTCTCTGTAGTTTCTTGTTTAATGTGTGTAGGGATATGTTGTTTATCCTTGAAAACCAGCTTACTTTGACCAGGGAGAACAGAGCAGGTGTGTCGCCTCAACCCAGACGTGCCGGATTTGTGCCCATTGTAAATTAATATTTTTGCACATTTGTCACAATGAACAAAGTCCAGTTCCTTTCCATCTTTGTCACAGACAATTGAGAAACTTCTCCAAATGTCAGACTTGCCTTGCTTACGTTTTGTGCTGAAAATACCTCGTTTGAGGTTCTCATTTATTGACATCTCATTCTCCATGTTTACTAGGCTACCTCCCGCCCGATCCCGCAGGGTTTTTTTTAGCCGCCCGTTCCCGCCCGCAGCAAAGTTCAAACCGCCCGCTCCCGCGAGATTTGCGTTGGGTCCCGCGGGACCCGGCGGGACTCAATCCCAATGCAGCCCTCTATTATGGTGTTCTTTTGATGATGTGCTGTGTTGTTTTTGCATCAAACATTTTACCTTTTACCACTTTCAGGCTTGGTTGTTGCATCAAACATTTTTTACTTTTACCACTTTCAGACTTGGTCTCAATCAGACCATAACACCCTTTTCCCAAAAAAAAAAAAAAAAATGTTGTTTGTTTGAGTCAGAAAAGGCTTGCTTCTTGCAACCCATAGTCCAGACAGATGGAGAATAGAAGAGATAGTTGTCACATGTAGGGAGCAACTTTTTTTTAATGTTTCTGCAGGCCTCTGGACTACTTATCCAGTTTTCTCTTTGTCTTCTCATCAATTTTGGAGGGATGCTCTGTTTTTGATAATGCCACTGTTGTGCCATAATTTCTCCAATTGTAGACGACTGTCTTCAGTGTGTTCCAAGGAATATCTAAGTTAATTCTGAACGCAACCACATACCCAATAAATAAAAATGTGCACAATTATGCAGTTGAGTTATTTAAAGTTTTAATTTTGTATCCTTTTTCTCTGAAATGTTTCACTTTGGAATTGCATAGGTTGTAATTCTTTACATTAAAGATGCAAAAGTTCTGATATGATTTATCTTTGTTTCATGTTTTACATCACAAAAACAGCTGTTTTGGGGTGTGTAGACTTTTCATATCCACTGTACATCGTCGTAATGTACACATTTACGCGTATTGGTAACACTTTAAAATAAGGTTTCATTAGTTAACTACATTAGTGTACATGAACTAATAATGAACTGTACTTCTACGGAATATATTACTCTTTGTTAATGTCAACATTGACTAATACATTATTAAAATCAAAAATTGTATTTGTTAACATTAGTTAATGCACTGTGAACTAACAACAAACAACAAATTTTTATTAACTAACATAAACTAACCATTTGTCACTGTATTTGTTAATCTTTGTTAATGTTAGTTGTATACATTAATGTTAACAACTGAAACTGTTTCCCACGTAATATATATATATATACTGTATATATATACACTACCGTTCAAAAGTTTGGGGTCGGGGTACGATTTTAAATACTTTTAAAAGAATTCTCTTCTGCTAACCATGGCTGCGCTTATTTGATTAAAAATACAACAAAAATCAGTTATAGTATTAAATATTATTCCAGTGTAAATCAGCTGTTTTCTGTGTGAATATATAGTAAAGTGTAATTTATTCCTGTGATCAAAGCTGAATTTTCAGCATCACCAGTGTCAGTGTCTTCAGTGTCAAATGATCCTTCACAAATCAGTATAATATGAGGATTTGATGCTTTAAGAAACATTTATTATTATTATCAATGTTGAAACAGTTGTTGGTCTGTCAGTTGTACAGTTTTCTTCTTTTTTTTTTTAGGATTCTTTGATGAATAGGAAGTTCAAAAGACTTTTGTAACATTATAAATGTCTTTACTGTCACTTTCGGTTAAAATGAATTATTCCTTGATAAATAAAAGTATTGATTTCTTTCCTCCCAAAAATAAAATTAAAATTCTCACTGACCCCAAACTTTTGAACGGTAGTGTTTATGTACCTGGGATAAATAAATATATAACTGGAATAAAGTGTCCAGTGAGAATATGTACTTTAATTTAATTCTAAGGGTCAGAGAGGGTTGAAAATCATTAAAAATTTAAATATGACATAGCTCAAAAAGTCACAAACATGTTGAACGAAACCTTTCATAATAATTTTTTTATTTTATTTTTTTGTATTTTAAATTGATTAGTCACCAAGTTTTAGGTACTAGACATATATGTGATATATGTGAAAAGATTAATATATTTATTTATTTCATGTTCCGGTTCTGAAGGCAGTGGATTCCATGTCTCGTCTGGGTGGTTTTGGAGGTTGGATCTCAGACATAATCTGTTTTGCATAAGGGGTGTTATGGAGACCTGCGGTTCTGAGCGCCTGTTCAATACGAACTCTGGGATCGGACACAATCTGAAAGACAGACAAAATAAGAAAAAAATATAAGAGCATCTTTCAATTAATTCATAGAATTATTGATTCATTGCAAATCCATATAAGTCACCATGATCAAGCCTTCAAAGTGAGCTGCTCAAGCAAAGGTCAGGGAAGTAATATAAATAGAATTATTATAATAGTTAAATGTTTTTTGTAACAGGAGTGGCTGTTGATCTGCTTTGACATGACCAAGGTTTAAGTCAGTAACTTATCTCAGTTTTATGTTTACAGGATGTGATGTTAAACCTCCATGTTATGAAACAAAAGTCTGAACACAGTTTGGCCTTGGCCAATAACTTTGTAAAGGCCAGAGACCCAAAATGTAGGACTGGGGGGTTGGGTACTGCGCTGCAGGTCTACCCTGAGCAACAAACACTGAACCAGACTATTTAAATGTTGAGCAGTAAATAAATGACTGGCTGCAAGATCAGCAGAGGCCAATCATCTTGTGCCATGCGGTAATGATGTGACTGCTTGCAGATTGCATGTAAAGGACCATGTAAAGAGCTACATGGAGCTCTGGAGTTTCAAGACAGAACTAGACACGTATCTAAATTTTCAGCTCATTTGTTCTTAACTGATTACACATAGACAAGTTTGAATTTGTTGACTATATAATAAATAATTTCATTGAAAAATGAAAGTGAAAAAAGTAAAATAGTCCACCATTCCACCACATTTTTCCTACACCTGATGACACTTTGCACAAATTATAGGAGTAACTGTGAGACACGCACACACAAAGAATACTTATTTATTAAACAAAGAGAAAACACTAGGAGATAAATATAGCAATACGACATTCACATAAACAATACCGAACATTGAACAGACTCAACTAAAGGCTTATCTTCACAAGGGAGCAATCAATGAAAAATTAACAGTATAGAACTAATTAACAACCTTGAAAACAAACAAGGAACTAGAACTCAGGCAAACGGGCACAGGAAAAACCTAATTAAAACACAAAAACTGACAGAACTAAACATAACTGTATCATTACCCCCACCCCAATGTCCTCGTGCCATAAACAAACCGATGAAAGGCTCTGGAGGAGGGCGAGGGACTGGTGAAGGACAGGGAACAGGAAATGCCTGCAGGAGAAACTAAGGCAGAGAAGATAGAGGGCGAGCAGGAGGGCCCAGACCACACCCAGGACGAAGTCCCACGAGTCAAAGGAAGGAGGAGCCAGGGTGGCGACTTGGCCGGTGGACCCAGGCGGACCTCCGTCTTTTACTCATTCCTGCAGATTTTGTGCTCACACCAAAAGTGTCCACGCATATACGGGCTAGAACTAAAATTAGCTATTTTTCGCTGCTTTATATGCTTAAACAGTCAAATACACACAAAATAATGACAAAATACCTGCTGTCAAATTATAAGATTATATCCTCCTGAGACCCAGAAAAAAAGACATTACAATGTTTGAGGAGAGTGTGCAGCTGTCAGTCACCGCGCCGGTGTGGATACTGGCATTCAGAATCACAGATTATTCTTTTTGGAAGTATGACCAACATAATAATTTTCACCGGAAAATGTCATCTGAACAAGTGAGTAACATCCACTTTTGTTCTGGGTCTGACATTGTAGTAAATCGCGCTGATTAAATCTAACAATCGCTTATCATATCACGCAAAACCGTGCAAATTATACTTTGTTCTCAAATTGTTAATGTTAACAACGTCAGCGCGTGACTACATGTAATGCCCTTCAGATATGTATCCTTGTTTTCACATGGGTCCGGTTGCAGTCTCTTTTTTTCTGTAGCCACTCCGAAGTCCGAACGAAGTCTTTTGCATTCTACTCCAGGTGAATCTCCAGTTGTCACTGGTGATTGTCGGAACCTTTCTGGATCCGTCATCAAATCGATAAGTTTAATTATATCAAGTGCTGTGAGAAAAGGCTATAAATCTCCACCTCCAACATCCTCACACGCAATATAGCCTACTAGCTGAGACTCCTTCATGTGTACAGATATGACGTAATGACGCAAAGACATGCTTGAATCTCCCGCGGAAATCCATCAGTACCACTGGAATTAAAAACATTATTACAAGTTTACCACTTTGAATCGAGCTAAGGCAAGCAGATAGTTTTGAACACTGGATGGTTATTTCTCAAATATGTATTTTGGATAATTTTTAACCCAAAAAAAGCTACGGACTGCAGCTTTAAAGTTATCCAAATCCCCATTAGATCAATTTTGCAAATGGGAGTAATGCCGTGAGAGATTCAGGTCTTATACCTGTGATCATGACGAGCTGGAGCAAATTGTGGATCATAGCCCAGCCAACCCAGTAATTTTACCGCTCTGTGAAGCTTGAAACGTTTAACCACCTCCTTCCACAGTTTAACAGAATGACCCACACATTGATTCTGTATAGGTCTGATATAGGTCTTTCACCTGATCAACACAGCCCAGGACTGACTGTATTGGAGTAAAATAAAATATATATTCATAAAATAAAAAAAAATCTATATCCTTCCACTTTGCAGCATAGTTTGGACAGCACTCTCTGTAGTTGCAAGGCTGCAGGGTCTAGGGTCTTCTGTCATTCCACTCTAAATCTAGAGATATGTTTGTCCCATTCTCTAAACTATTTACAAGAGATCTCAGTTGCCAGTGCTGTAAATAGATACATTAATTTGGGTAAAATATTAAGCTTAAAGGGATACTCCACCCAAAAATGAAAATTCTGTCATAGTTTACTCACCCTCAAGTTGTTGCAAACCTGTATTGGTTTCTTTCTTCTGCTGAACACAAAGGAAGATATTTTGAAGAACAATTGGAACCAAACAGTTGTTTGGCACCATTGACTTCCATAGTAGAAAAAAAAAAAAAAATACTATGGAAGTCAATGGTGCCAAAGTTCCAATCGTTCTTCAAAATATTTTCCTTTGTGTTCAGCAGAAGAAAGAAACTCATACAGGTTTGCAACAACTTGAGGGTGAGTAAATGATGACAGAATTTTCATTTTTGGGTGGAGTATCCCTTTAATAGATTTTACCCAGCTGCCCATATCTAGAGGAAGCAAAGCCCATCTGTCCAAATCTTTATAGATTTTCCTATTTAATAGGTTATAATTTAGAGTATGTAAAGAGGACAAATCCTTTGCTAAATATATACAAAAATACTGAATATATGATAAATTCCAATTAAAATTATACCTATTTGCCAGTTCTTGTGTGGGAAAAAAAATTTAGTGTCAAAGCCTGAGTCTTATGAATGTTAAGTGAATATCCAGAGTAGCTCCAAGATATCTTTAAGACATCCATCAACCCTAGTTGGGTTTTGTAATGTCACCAGTACATCCTCTGCATACAAACAGATTTTGTATTCTGCTCCCCCTATAATTATTCCCTCTAAACCATTATTCTGTCTAATTGTTTGGGCCAATGGTTCAATAAAGAGGATAAAAAGAGAGAGGCTGATGGGACAGCCCTGTCTGTATCCTCGTTGAAACACTATTGAGAGACTGCCGTTGATTTTTATCCTAGCTGTCGGAGATGAGTATAACGTCTTTATGCATTGTATAAATCCTCTACTAAACCCAAATCTATCCATAACTTGATAAAGAAATTCCCAACCAACAGAATCAAAAGCCTTCTTGGCGTCTAACCTAAGAAGAATTGCTTTGTTTTTTTCTTTTATTTATGAAATCAATCATGTGCAGGGATCTCCGAATGTTATGATGGGTTTGCCTATTCCTAACAAACCCTGTTTGGTCCGTGTTTATTATGACACGGATTATATTTATTATGTGTTCATCTTTTCCAACCTCCTCGCTAAAACTGATGCAAACAATTTATAATCCGAATTCACTTATTGGTCCATATGATTTGCAGTCTAGCTTATCCTTGCCCTCCTTTAGTATTACAGAGATATAAGCTTCCCTGAAAATATATGAAATAATAGATTGCATTAATGTTATATATTACAATATATTGAATAATACAAAGAATTGCCGCTTTTCATGTATTGAAAAATCTATTTACAATATATTTACACTGTAAAATGTAATTAGTTGAGTATACTTAGAAAACATGGGAAATGATTGCCTTAAATTGGATGTTTTACTCAAAGTCGTAAGTTTCTACTATAAAAAAACATACAATTTAATGCACACCGTCAATCAATGTCCTCACACTTTTTTGTATTTATTAAACAGAAACTCAACAAATAAAAAAAACATCAACATAACAGTTAATAAAAATGACTGCAATAGATTTCTGCATTTTAAATGCAGCAACATGCAGCATATCATCAATGTTTCTTGGTCTTCTCCTGGACTGAAGCACAGGCTCTACTCTTCAGCACAATGGTGACTCACAAAACTCAGACAACAGAAACCCTTTAAATCAGATACAGCATTTCTCTTGGCTCTTTTTGGCCATAACGACAGTGTCTAAAAACACAGTTAAAGCAGCCAGAGAAAAACTAATGTTCCCTTTCGTTGTCACTCCTGCAGCCTATTCTCTGACTATCTTCGAGAATCTTCTAGGCGAGCAGCTTCCAGTCGGTGTTGGTGTGATGGCGTGTTCCAGCGAGTTTCACATTCCTGCCTGCTGAACTGAACAGCGTGTGTGCTTCTCCCTGGGCGCTTCAGCACTGCTGCAAGCTTTTCTCTCACAAAAAAGCGTGCACGCGGCGAGTCTTTCTAAAGACGATCTGCCCGTGTATTTCTGAGTGCGGTATTCTGATGGATTCAGCTGATGGGCACGAGCCCTCTGTTTTGACGTGTTTTGGCTTTGATCATGCTCAAACAGCCTTCGTGGATGTGTCACGTTCTCCAAGCGGGAACATGACCATCGCAATGTACCCGTGCGGTTCCAAATGAGTTCGCTGACCAGAGGACGCCGGTGGGCCCGCGATCTCATTCGGTTCCCCGGCTGATGAAATCATGTATATCGCCGCATCACAAGGTGAGCTGGAGTCCTCTGGAGATGAGGTCTCGTCTGTGCTGCCATCCTCGGGT